GTAAGTCATGAAAAGGAACTTTTTTTATTCCGTTTCCACCCTCTTTGCATTAGGTGGTACTAATTAAAATGCTGATAAGGCATGCTGAATGGGCAATATCATCAAATGTTAAAAGCACAATATCAGCAATTAGCGAAAAGTTCATTAAAGGGTGGCGCTATCCCTAGCACAAAAATTTCCCCTTATCTTAGTGAAATCCCATTATTGTTGGAGGAAAGGAACTCTACAACTTGCACCTTAAACTCATCTCAGCAATGCTTAGTGTGGTGTAATGTTGTAAAGCTATTTTTCACATCTAGCAAGCTTTAATTTGCCATCTCGCAACAAAGTGGATATGATATTCTTTCTTATTGCAAAGTTAAACAATAATAGAAAAGAGAAAAGAAAGGAATTTTGATCTGGATGTCTTGTTTTTTATCATAAAAGAGCTTAGTTTCTTTTATCGTGAACATGTTTTATCCCCTTAAAACCTCAAGGAGGGTTCAGGGTTTAAACGGCCGGAAACGTCAAAATCCTCTTGCAAAAAAGACCTGATTTGATTCTAAAGACGGCGTTGTCTTGCTACATATAGAACTCTTGTGTGTGAGGCATAAATTATAGTGGAATGTTACCAAACGAACTTGAGCAAATCAACTACAATAAGATACGTGGAGCTGCGATTACTGGGCAGTTTTAAGCATTACATACATGAACGAAAGAAACTTTTTCAAACGGCTCATTTTTCTCCTCAAAGAGCTCAGTAATCTTACCAAACTTCCGTTAGGAAATGTATTCGGCTGCAAATGCGAATATTAATGAGCTTGCACAGATGTTTTGTGATTAATAGCCATCCCAAGCCGTAGAGATTAAACTTTTGCGGTATGAGGGCATGCTATGCGAACTTTTAAAACATAATTAAAAGAGTGGAGAAAATCAGCAGAGACTAGCACAGCGACTAATTTGCGAGCTCAAAAAAACTGCTGTTGGCAGTGAATTGCTAGCTAGAATATGCTTGAATCCTTTGAAATGCTGAGCACCCATCTAATACGCCCTCCGATGATACTTCTGTGAACAAAAAGCTGTTATTGGATCACATTCCCAATGTTGCAGCTAGACCCTCTATTAGTTATGATGAGATTGCTCGTTAAGAGGAAATGACATCCTAGATGAGCAGGCAGTAAGTTTCAGGAAGTCTAAAGTTCCATTAAATGAATGGGAACTTGAAAATGGCATGCCACGCTTAGAATACTAACACAATGAAGAATTTGGATGCAGCACCAACCCTTGACCACCCACCTCAGTTGATTCAATTCATTTGGTAAATTCGGTAACTCAATTAATCATGCCAGTTGCGACATCTGAGCGGTTTTGAAGGGCTGCAGAATGTTGATTGGATAGCATTACATCATTTCTCGTTCCGTGCTGGAACTACCCTACTTTTGGCATCCAGTACATCAAAAAAATTTAATCGTCAATGTAAATAAAGAGCTTTAATATCAGTGAGACGCAGTTTGTTTCTTCTCTTATTACCTTGCGCTAACTAGTGCAAATTTTTAAAGAAAATCGGCGTCGGAAAGCCAAGTTTCGGATTTGCCTCCTTCGTTCTGAAGCTGTTCCCGGTCCTACATTCTGGATTTTAAACAGTAGATCTTGTTCTTTCAAAAATTTTATCTTTTATATTTATGTTTATTTCATCGTTGATGTTGTAATTTGATACTCATACTATGTGCAATAAATACATTGAAAGACATTGCGTATAACACTATCGATGAAATAAACTTTTAGTAAACAAAATGAAGATCGAAAATGTTGCTAATAGACTGTCTTCACGCTTTCGGAATGACCAGGCTTCTGGGAATGGTAGCTGCATCAAATATGAAATTGATCAACCTTAGAAACTGCTGAAACAACTACGTAACTAACAATAATGTATTAGCTAATAATGATGTAAGTGAAGCAATTTTACGTATTAAAGCATTTCTAAGAATGGGCTGGCCCTTTCCTATTTGAAGAACCACTTCGATTTTTGCAAAAACTTGCATGTAATTATTTAACATGCTGAACACAAAAGTAGAGCGTATCTTTTTCCTTCAATTGGCTTGAGTTGCATAGCTATAGCGAGTGCGAGGAGTACTTCTTCTGATGGAATACAAAATTGTTCTCTAGAAGTGCATCTTACAGCTTCAAAGTATGTCTACAGAGTGGTCATATGAAAAGGATATGATATGTGGCCTAAGAAGGGCTCTCATCTCAGCACCCTCCTCCCTTGCTTTCCTCTTCGTTGGCTTACAAGCGTTTTTGGTCTTTTATTCTCAACCCTTTTAATCTACGAATCAATTTTAGCATATTGTTTGCAACATCGTGATCAATGAGTTAAACATCAACAATTTTTTCAGGCAACTCTATTGTCAGCCACTATTTCTGTCTGTAAGCCTTCATTAACTCACAGAGTGCTAGTCTTACTTAGCTACTTAGATGGCGTTTCTTCACTAGTCGTGCAGGCCACAGCACTGTTTCCATCCGTTTCTAGCTCTCACTAGCGTCATCCACGATGGACATTGAACTGGGGCGGCCGTTCGCGAGGTTCAGATCCATTGCTCGTTACTAGCTGGGAATTCAGCTGGTCCATCTGTGCAACAAACAAATCAGCCCATCTGGACGGTGGCCTTCCCCGAGGACGTTTTGCTTTGCGAGGGATCCATTCCAATGACCGATGTTTAGCCTTACATACGTATTCCGCTGAATCGCGAAACGGGACATTGATCTCATATCTAAACTGCGAAGTCCGAAGAGATGTTGTGTGCGCCGGTTGTACTGCAAAAGACGTCGTTTCAGCGCCTGTAGGTTGTTCGAAGAGCCTTTGACGTAGCCACAGTGTCAGGCCACGTCTCTACTGCGTAGCAGAGCGCAGGGAGAACAGTAATCGAACAGATGGGCTCGGAGCTCTGGGTCCGTCAGTTGGTCTGTGGCTTCCTTTAGAGCGCCGAGGCAGAAGCTGTTCTTTGCTTCCTGCATAGTTCTTCTTTCAAATCGTTCTCCATGTTTATCGAACGAACGAGATATGCGCAGGGAGACGTCTCCGCAATTGGAGAGCCTTCTAATTCCATTTCCTGATCCTCGCAAAAAGCCTTCTTCATGAACTGATTCTTACTCCACTTGATTCGCAGTCCTCTCCGCTTCTCTACTTCGTTTCCTTCCAACATCGTCTCCGCTTCAGTGAGATTCTTCGAGAAGAGCACAATGTCGCAGGGATACAGTGTTGCCTCGTCGAACCCCCTTTGAAATTGGTACGTTAAGGGGGCGAGGAGAAGCTGTACTGGTAGAGCAGTTCTTGTAGCGTCGTATCTTCAAGTAAGATGGGTCCCCCCTTGGTCCACGAGCGCTGACAGTACGACATTAGTCCCGACGCTGTGAAATGCTTTCTCATAGACGACGAAGGTTAGGACGAGAGGTCTCGGCAAACGCCTGGATGTGATCCACGCTGCTGAATCCCTTATGAAATCCAGCTTGTTTTACAGGTTGGGCTATTCAGTGTTCTTGATATGCTAATGGGAATAATTTTGTTGAAAAACTTGTAAAGCACTCGCAGCAGGAATAGTAGTTCCGAAGATCCTCTCTATCGGCTTTCTCATGAACAAGGATTGTTCGCGAGGTTTTCCACTGGCCGGAGATCACCTCCTTTTGAAGATAGGACGTTAGGCATGGCGCAAGTATCTCGTGTAGGCGATGTCCTTCAGCTCGTTAGAAATTGGTCGAAACATGGTCCGGCTCCGGAGCCATGCTGCCTTCATG